AGATATACACTGATGCACGGGTTCGTCTACTGTGAACACTCCTGTTGAGGCGTCTGCAGCTGCTGCTTTCCTCTATATTCAGTCGGGTTAATTTGAATGTAGCTGCAGCTAGTCTTATTTCAGCAGCTTGGATTTCTACTGTTTTTAGCACTTATATTTTAGCACTTTTTCAATAGTTAATTAGTCTCAGTTCAGTAGCTTTGTTTGCAGTTATACTTTTATTTATGTCACTAGCTAATTAGTTTTATTTCAAGAGCTCGGTTTACTAGTGTTTTGTGATTACTCATTCTAGTAGCCAACTCGTTTTTTTTTACAGCAGTTTGGCTTCTTCGTTTTCTTTAGCACTTTTTTTCAGTAGATAATCAGTCTTATTTCAGCAGTTTGGCTCCTAGTGTTTTCATATTGATTTCTGTAGCCATTTAGTCATATTTCAGCAGAAGTGAAATGGTGTTATTTCAGCAGCCTTCTCTTTTAGTGGGTTTTTTTTTTCAATAAATTTTGGGAGTCAATTCTTACTGTTTCATCAGCTTGGTCTCTTAGTATGTTATAGTACTTACTTTTTTTTAGTACTTGTTTTATTAGCCAATTGTTTCTATTTCAGCAGCCAGACTTTTCAGTACCTTTGGCACATTTTTGCACTTTTTGATGCAATTTATTACATGTTTACATTATATATATCAGCTTTCTTTATTGGATGTTTTACTATATCACTTGAATCTTTTAACATTCTTTAATCACTTCCTGCCCATAGGCCATATATATACAGCCTTGGGTTGAAGAGGTTGTACCAGGATCATGGTGGTAGCTATAACCATGATCCTTGTATCAATCTTTGAAGCCGGCGATTCTCTACAATTTAAAAGTGATCCAAGCAGCTATACAGCTGCTGGATTTTTCACAGGTGGCAGACAGGCACACCCCCACCCCTGCTGCCAGAACTGGGTTCTATCATCCCATTGGAGAGCCCAGTAACAATGCGACTGGTCGCATCCAATGCCTAAGACAGAGTGAAAGGAGCTGATGTTGTTCCTTTCCCTCTGTGATGTCAAAAAGCATTGTTCATGCCTTGTGATAGCAATAAAGTTGAATAAAAAAAATAAATTAAGATAAAAAAAATAATTGAAATAGAATTAATTTAATTTAAAAAATGTAAAACGCCCCTACACCCCTATCCCCCTGTGTTCATGCACAAATGTGAATGTGCACTTATGTCATGCATCGTACCACACATGTCAGGTATCACCATGAACATTAGAGCGAATGTAATCATTTTAGCACCAGACCAGGGGCGGACTGACCATTTGGAAACTCGGGCAATGCCCGAGGGCCCGGGGTCAGTAGGGGGCCCCATGAGATGCCCCTGGTACCTTTTTCATAGGCTTTTTTGAGTTTGGGAAAGGACACAGGGGCCCCACGATCCCTTATTGCCCAGGGGCCCCATGAGTTGTCAGTCTGCCCCTGCACCAGAGCTCTTGTGAAACTCTAAACTGATAACCTGTAAAGGCTTTTAAATCATTGCCTATGGATTACTTCATGTACCTTAGTTTGTCGCCGTTCCACAGTCATGGGCAATTTTAAAGCATTACATGTTTGGTATCTATATACTCAGCGTAACATCATCTTTTATATTTTACTAAAAACCTTTGTATTAAATTGTGTTTGTGTTCACAAAAATTCATTAAAGTGTATTGTTTCCCCCAAAAAATTCATAGTACAACTGCTTTGCAAATATTGTGTGATATAAAAAAAATTGCAATACCCACCACTTTATTCTTTAGAGCTTCTGATTAAAAAAAATCTAATATGTTTAGGGGTAATTTTCTAGCAAAAAAAATGTAAGTTTTTATGTGTTAAAATAAAAAATACTCTAATATAAATGACCAGATCATACTAGCTATGGGCTCCCTTAGTCACGTCATGTGTTAATCTACAATTCACATAATATTCAAATTGATGATTCTTGATATGAAAACTGAGGGGCTTGTGAAGTAAACATCTCTTTAAAGCAGTTCCTACTGCAGATGAAAAGTAGGTGAACATGAAATGTGAAGTTAACTGATTGAATAGATTGAAACAGGGCTTTTATTATATACATTTATGTTTTTTTAAACTCATGTCACCAGCTAAATATAATGACAAGGTGACCTTCAAGACTTGATCAGAACAATAGTATTTTGTCTGATGATATGTATAGACACTGTTTCATTCGACTCATATTAGTGTCAGTACACTTGCGTGAATAGAGTTTCTGAACATTGTTACTGTGATTTGTACACTGGTTATTTTGGATTCTATCTTATTTACTGGAAACATAATCCCCTGGAATTATAAAGATTATAAAGACGAAATGCATTAAATATTAATACTGGAAATGGAAAGCTATGCTAAATGACAAGTGATCGTTTATGAATCGCTCTAGGGGGTAAGATAAGTATCCTGGTAAATCTATATTAAAAAAACATGTTGAAAGGCACATTTGTCTTTTTGAAAATTCAATAAATAGTACCCTGCAATAAAAGATTGTTTATACTCAGCTGTTCCACCACCTGCTCCTGGATTCTTCACTCCCCTGAAGAGCTACAGCAGCATGAAGAATATTCAAATATGACACCCTTCCACTTGTGTCAAATGCCGAGATCTCTGCTGTGGATTTTTTTTTTTACTGACACTTACCTAGGTACCATCGATACCATTGATGCTGCATCTTCCCCCCCCCCCCCCCAGTGGACAGGGTGGAAACTAAGTGATCAGACACCGCTGATTGCTCAGTTCTCCCTGCCACTCTCTGAGCAGAGAGTAGGTGTAGCAATCATGCACACAGAGATGGACGCGGTCATCCATTTTGCTCCAAACCCCGCCATCTTGTATCTCTCTCTCCCAAATCAGATTCTTCTGATATCCCCCCTCCCTCTCTGTTGAGTGATATGTGGTCTGGGTGATGACAGAGATCACAGGCAGCAAACTAATTGGGAGGTCGTCATGGCTATAAACCCCAATTAGCTGGTGCCCATATGTCTGTGAGACTCTTGCTTGGAAAGATATTGTAAAGCCATAAACCAAGTCCTTCACTGAGTTCAAAGACATTCCAGATAAGCCATAAAGCAGACATCACATTGAAGACCCACTTTCCCCTATGATTACATATCTTGGAATATGAGAGACTTACCAAAAAACCAGGCAGATATTCAAACCGGTCACTTTAATACAAGTCGTCTGATATATTACACCCCCTATCTGACATATACAGGAAAGCAGAGAATGATATCTCCTTACCCGTCACAACAGGTATGTCATATTTCATATGTAGACGTTCAGCAGAAGATTCTGCGTATTAATCTACTCGTGGATAGAATGTGTTTAGGAATGGACTGGCCAGCAATGGTGGGACTCACCTGCCTTTTGATCTGCAGTACCAGGGCTGGCCAGCGGGTGCTCCCAGCAATCAGAGACTCAACCTTTCAGCCAGCTAACACCTGGAACTGATGATACTGGGGTATTTAAGGGATGGCCAGACTTGCAGACTCTGCCTTGGTGTTGTGTTTCTCTTGGGCCCTGTATCCTGTTCCTGCTCTCTGTTCCTGTCTGATTCTCTGCTACCTGTCCTGATCCCTGGCTTGTGACCCTGACCATTCCTCTGCTTGACCCTCTGTACTACGCTGCTTGCTACCTGCTGAACCTGGCCTGTGACCCCGACCATTCTCTGCTTGCTCCCCCTGTACCTACCTGCCCAATTGATATTGACCCGGCCTGCCTGACGACGCTTGCTTGTATGTACTGTTATCTGTGGGTGGTTTGGTTTGGTTTGTTTGCACTGTATTATGTTTAGTATTGCACTGCGTTTATGTTAGTATGGTTAGTGTTAATAAATTGTATTGTTTATCACATATCTGAAGTCTGCGTTTCCCTGCATCAGTCACACACCTCTGGTCATACCTGGGAGCCCTGACATTACACCAAGGCCAATCCTGACCAGAAGTGGCTGCACAGGGAAGCCATCTTGGCTTGTTGATGGGAAGGATGGATCTGGATGAGGTTGAATATTTATATCTGCTAGTGTTTGATGACAGGGAGTATGCTTATCAAACTCTGAAGGAGTATACCCGGGATGAACTACTAGAATGTATACGGCTCGCTCATGTTCTAGTAGATCAGGGCACAGAGTTCTCTGAGGTGCAGCCTTTGATTGAAGTTTGTGCTGAGTTGGTTTCATCTGGTTCCCCCGAATGCAGGGATGAATTTTTGCCACCATTTAGTGCAGACCAGGTAGAGTCCCTGGTGTGGTTATTAGAGGATGATGTGGGTTACTTTCTGGAGCGTTATTCCACATGTTCACCACAGACACTAAGAGATTGTATAAACGCAGTACAGTCATTGACCAGACAGGCTTTGTGTAAGCTCAGCTTTGTTCAACCCATACTGCAGACATGGACAGATTTGTTGCACCCAGCCTCAGTCAGCTTACAAAGACCCAGTCCTGCTTCTAATCTATTTCCTCAAAACTCTATTCCTGCATTCCCAACAGCTCCTCCTGCCCTGCTATCTACCGCATGTCAGTACCCTGTTCCCACTCGCTGCACCTATCCTGCCTTTAACCCTGTAAAAGAGCCCTCTGTAGCAACCGCTCCCTCTCCTGTTCCATCCTCCAGTTCTTCTCTGTCTCCAGCTGCTCCATTCGTTTGCAGACCTGCGTTTACTTGCAGTGCTCCAGTAGTTAAAACCAGAAAAAAGCGAAAATTCTTTCCAACCAATACCATCCTGCCAGTATCCAAACCGGTGAGCCTGCCTTCCGTGGTTCAGCCTGAAGCCTCTACTCGGCCTGAAGCCTCTACTCGGCCTGAAGCCTCTCTTCAGCCTGAAGCCTCTACTCGCCTGAAGCCTCTACTCGGCCTGAAGCCTCTACTCGGCCTGAAGCCTCTACTCGGCCTGAAGCCTCTACTCAGCCTGATGCCTCTACTCGGCCTGAAGCCTCTACTCGGCCTGAAGCCTCTACTCGGCCTGATGCCCTCTACTCGGCCTGATGCCTCTACTCGGCCTGAAGCCTCTACTCGGCCTGATGCCTCTACTCGGCCTGATGCCTCTACTCGGCCTGAAGCTCTACTCGGCCTGAAGCCTCTACTCGGCCTGATGCCTCTACCCAGCATGATGAACTGATCCAGCCTGACGATCCTATTAGGCCAGTTGACTCGATGCCCGCTGTTGATCCAGATGATCCGGTACCTGATCCGGTGCCCGCTGTCGAGCCAAATGACCTGATGCCTGGTGACCCAGTGCCCGCTGTCATACCTGGTGACCCGATGCCCGCTGTCGAGCCAGACAATCCGGTACCTGATGACCCGGTGCTCACTGTCGTGCCTGTTGACTCGGAGCCCACTGCCTTGCCAGATGACGCGGTGCCCGCTGTCAAGCCAAATGACCTGATGCCTGGTGACCCAGTGCCCGCTGTCCAGCCAGACGATCCAATGTCTGACCCAGTGCCCGCGGTCATACCAGTTGACTCGGAGCCCACTGCCTTGCCAGATGACACGGTGCCCGCTGTCGAGCCAGACAATCCGGTACCTGATGACCCGGTGCTCACTGTCGTGCCTGTTGACTCGGAGCCCACTGCCTTGCCAGATGACGCGGTGCCCGCTGTCAAGCCAAATGGCCTGATGCCTGGTGACCCAGTGCCCGCTGTCCAGCCAGACGATCCAATGTCTGACCCAGTGCCCGCGGTCATACCAGTTGACTCGGAGCCCACTGCCTTGCCAGATGACGCGGTGCCCGCTGTCGAGCCAAATGACCTGATGCCTGGTGACCCGATGCCCGCTGTCCAGCCAGACGATCCAATGTCTGACCCAGTGCCAGCGGTCATCCCAGTTGACTCGGAGCCCACGGTTGTGCCTGGTGACTCGGTGCCCGCCGCCCGCCTGGGGGCCCGAGACCTGTCGTTCCGCCTGGGGGTCCGGCACCCGCCACTCCGCCTGAGGGTCCGAGACCTGTCGCTCCGCCTGGGGGTCCGGCGCCCGCCGCTCCGCCTGAGGGCCCGAGACCTGTCGCTCCTCCTGGGGGTCCGGCGCCCGCCGCTCCGCCTGAGGGCCCGAGACCTGTCGCTCCGCCTGGGGGTCCGGCGCCCGCCGCTCCGCCTGAGGGCCCGAGACCTGTCGCTCCACCTGGGGGTCCGGCGCCCGCCGCTCCGCCTGAGGGCCCGAGACCTGTCGCTCCGCCTGGGGGTCCGGCGCCCGCCGCTCCGCCTGAGGGCCCGAGACCTGTCGCTCCATCTGGGGGTCCGGCGCCCGCCGCTCCGCCTGAGGGCCCGAGACCTGTCGCTCCGCCTGGGGGTCCGGCGCCCGCCGCCCCGCCTGGGGGCCCGAGACCTGTCGCTCCGCCTGGGGGTCACGGCGCCCGCCGCTCCGCCTGGGGGCCGAGCCTGTCGCTCCCGCCTGGGGGCCGATGCCTGCTCGCCTGGGGGCACGATGCTGTCGCCCCGCCTGGGGGCACGATGCCTGTCGCCCCGCCTGGGGGCACGATGCCTGTCGCCCCGCCTGGGGGCACGATGCCTGTCGCCCCGCCTGGGGGCACGATGCCTGTCGCCCCGCCTGGGGGCACGATGCCTGTCGCCCCCGCCTGGGGGCCCGGTGCCTGTCGCCCCGCCTGGGGGCCCGGTGCCTGTCGCCCCGCCTGGGGGCCCGGTGCCTGTCGCCCCGCCTGGGGGCCCGGTGCCTGTCGCCCCGCCCGGGGGCCCGGTGCCTGCTGCTCCCCGCCCGGGGGCCCGGTGCCTGCTGCTCCGCCCGGGGGCCCGGTGCCTGCTGCTCCGCCCGGGGGCCCGGTGCCTGCTGCTCCGCCCGGGGGCCCGGTGCCTGCTGCTCCGCCCGGGGGCCCGGTGCCTGCCCGCTGTGCCCCTGCCCGGGGGCCCCCGGTGCCTGCTGAGTCCGCCCGATGGCCTCTGCCCGGAGGGCCCGGTGCCCGATGTGCCTCTGCCCGGGGGCCCGGTGTGCCTGCTGCCCGGAGTCCTGCCCGATGTGCCTCTGCCCGCTGCTGCCTCTGCCCGATGTGTAATGCCGATGTGCCTCTGCCCGGAGTCCTGCCCGATGTGCCTCTGCCCGGAGTCCTGCCCGATGTGCCTCTGCCCGGAGTCCTGCCCGATGTGCCTCTGCCCGGAGTCCTGCCCGATGTGCCTCTGCCCGGAGTCCTGCCCGATGTGCCTCTGCCCGGAGTCCTGCCCGATGTGCTCTGCCCGATGTGCCTCTGCCCGGAGTCCTGCCCGATGTGCCCGCCCGATGTGCCTCTGCCCGGTGTGCCTCTGCCCGGAGTGCCTCTGCTCGATGTGCCTCTGCCCGGAGTCCAGCCCGGTGTGCCGCTGCCCGGAGTCCTGCCCGGTGTGCCAGTCTTTGATATCCCGCCAGTTGCCAGACCCGGGCGGTGGAACATTTTGCCCAGCTAGGACTGTTTGGAGCGTCCTGAGGCCGCTCCTTGAGGGGGGGGGTACTGTTAGGAATGGACTGGCCAGCAATGGTGGGACTCACCTGCCTTTTGATCTGCAGTACCAGGGCTGGCCAGCGGGTGCTCCCAGCAATCAGAGACTCAACCTTTCAGCCAGCTAACACCTGGAACTGATGATGCTGGGGTATTTAAGGGATGGCCAGACCCACAGACTCTGCCTTGGTGTTGTGTTTGTCCTGGGCCCTGTATCTGTCCTGCATCCTGTTTCTGTCCCTCTGCCTGACCCTCTGTACTACGCTGCTTGTACCTGTTTTGATCTCTGGCTTGTGACCCTGACCATCCCTCTGCCTGACCCTCTGTACTACGCTGCTTGCTACCTGCTGAACCTGGCCTGTGACCCCGACCATTCTCTGCTTGCTCCCCCTGTACCTACCTGCCCAATTGATATTGACCCGGCCTGCCTGACGACGCTTGCTTGTATGTACTGTTATCTGTGGGTGGTTTGGTTTGGTTTGTTTGCACTGTATTATGTTTAGTATTGCACTGCGTTTATGTTTGTATGGTTAGTGTTAATAAATTGTATTGTTTATCACATATCTGAAGTCTGCGTTTCCCTGCATATGGCATCAGCGATCTGCTGATCGCTGGTGCAATGCTTTCCAGACTCCTACTACAAAAAATAATAAATGCATATTTTTTTTACCTACGAAAAAAGTGTGCATTTATTATTTTTTGTAGAAAGGTGAACTTATTCTTTAAACTGTTCAGTTACTCTTTTTATTTATTCTCTAGAGGCGTACTGAAGGGAATACGTTATAGTACATCTAATGAAAATCGGATAATAATACACACATTGATATATATTTTATAACACTGATAGCCTATGATAGTAAAATGATTGTTAAATGTGCATATTTTTCAGAACCATCTGTTTGCATCTCTTTATCATAATACTGTGTCATCCAGAATCTATGAATCATCATTTGAGATGACTTAGATAAACAGAGATGTTTAGTTGGTAAAAAATGCTTCTCCTGGAGATTTTATCCCATAGACATAAGGTTTTCCAGGTGATGGTGGTACAGACATATGTATGTTCCCCTCAAGTGAGTGCTGAAAACAATGGCTAAAATACACTGCTCCGAAAAATTAAAGGATCACTTTTTAATCAGAGTATAGCATCAAGTCAATTAAACTCCTGGGATATTGATCTGGTCAGTCAAGTAGCAGAGGGGGTTGTTAATCAGTTTCAGCTGTTTTGGTGTTAATAAAATTAATAACAGGTGCACTGGATGGGCAACAATGAGACGATCCCCAAAACAGGAATGGTTTTAGAGGTGGAGGCCACTGACATTTTTTTCCCTATTCATCTTTTTTTCACTAGTTATGCATTTGGCTATCAAGAAAATAAGACAATCAAAAACAGACTTCATGAGGATGGCCTGAGGGCCCGATGTCCTCTAGTGCAGCGTTTTTCAACCACTGTGCCGCGGCACACTAGTGTGCCGTGAGATATTGTCTGGTGTGCCGTGGGAAAAATTGCAATTTCATCCATAACATAGACCTTTTAATCCAGCCCGCGGAGCGTGATACTGTCAGGATGATCTGTCCCCCTCGACGTATCTGCGCATGTGCCGGAGATCGCCGATCCGCTGCTAATGCCTGAAACTGGCACATGCGCAGATACGTCGAGGGGGGACAGATCCTCATAGGAGACAGATTTTCATGCTACACCGGAACGGCGAGAGGAACGCGCGGAGCAAAGGTAAGTGAATTGACACAGGGGGGGCTTGGGGACTTAATATGGGAGATGAATTAATATGGGGGATGAATTAATATGGGGGATGAATTACTATGGGGGATGAATTACTATATGGGGGATGAATTACTATGGGGGATGAATTACTATATGGGGGATGAATTACTATGGGGGATGAATTACTATGGGGGATGAATTACTATAGGGGGGATGAATTACTATGGGGGATGAATTACTATATGGGGGATGAATTACTATGGGGGATGAATTACTATATGGGGGATGAATTACTATAGGGGGGATGAATTACTATGGGGGATGAATTACTATATGGGGGATGAATTACTATAGGGGGGATGAATTACTATATGGGGGATGAATTACTATGGGGGATGAATTACTATATGGGGGGGATGAATTACTATGGGGATTAATTACTATATGGGGGATGAATTACTATATGGGGGATGAATGATGGGGGATTACTATAGGGGGATGAATTACTATATGGGGGATGATTACTACTATGGGGGATGAATTACTATATGGGGGATGAATTACTATGGGGGATGAATTACTATATGGGGGATGAATTACTATGGGGGATTAATTACTATGGGGGGATGAATTACTATGGGGGATTGAATTACTATATGGGGGATTAATTACTATGGGGGATGAATTACTATATGGGGGGAATTACTATGGGGGATGAATTACTATATGGGGGATGAATTACTATGGGGGATGAATTACTATATGGGGGATGAATTACTATGGGGGATGAATTACTATATGGGGGATGAATTACTATGGGGGATGAATTACTATATGGGGGATTAATTACTATGGGGATGAATTACTATGGGGGATGAATTACTATGGGGGGATGAATTACTATATGGGGGATTAATTACTATGGGGGATGAATTACTACTATGGGGATGAATTACTATGGGGGATGAATTACTATATGGGGGATTAATTACTATGGGGGATGAATTACTATATGGGGGATGAATTACTATTATGGGGGATGAATTACTATGGGGGATGAATTACTATATGGGGGATTAATTACTATGCTTACTATGGGGGAATATTACTATACTTACTATGGATGACACATACACATCATTCATCTACTCTTGGTCCGGCCCCCGGGTCCAATTATAAAATACTTTATTATTTCATAATAAAGTAATTATAAAATAATTTCTTTGTGTTTGATTCCTATTCAAGAGAATTACTTTATATATAGTCAATATAGGCACAGAGGTAAATTTTTTTAACATTTTCTAATGGTGGTGTGCCTCGTGATTTTTTTCATGAAAAAAGTGTGCCTTTGCACAAAAAAGGTTGAAAAACACTGCTCTAGTGGGCCTTGTGCTCACTGCCTGGCACCATAGAGCTTGATTGGCATTTGCCAATGAACACCAGAATTGGCAGGTCAGTCACTGGCGCCCTGTGGTTTCCATAGATGAGAGCAGGTTCACCCTGAGCACATGTGACAGATGTGAAAGAGTCTGGAGA